TGGTCACAGCTGTGCTGTGGAATTTTACACCTCAACTTTCAACACCACTAGATCGATGCTGCCTTTATCACTGAATCTCTCAAATTATAGTTGGTAGAGGCTATCGCACAGAATCATCATCACTGTTTCTGAGCGACGGCCAAAGATTTCACCATCTTTGCCACAACTGCCACCTCTAGATTTTTGTTGAGGGGAAAATTCAAACGATGACATAATTGAAGTATCCTTCCACTGGACGGCCACCCTGCACATTTCTCTTCACCTCAAGGTGCAACACACAAACTAAGATAATGTGATTTTAAGATGCTATGCTAAATGCCATCACGTTACATTCAAAGTTACATTAAACAACTAAATGCAGTGGTGTATGCATCTCACAACAAAGCAACATAGCATTGTTTGCAGGTGGGGGTTCAGCCTCAGTGAAAACCCTGTAGCCCTGCCGGCAAAGATGGCTAAACATTTATTTAGCCACTTTTGCTCTCCTTGCTAAATCAGGCACAAATTAATTGCCATACATAATTAACAGTCAGGTCTTGTTGATTATGAATAGGTCCACGCAGCAAAATTGTGTTTATCTGCAACATCTATTGGTTATGCATTTTATGTAGAGAACTGGTTTCGGGCTTGAATAAAGTTTTCTGGGCAGTAACCAGCCGTCTACTTCCGAGCTTGTGTTGTATGCAAAGAGCTTCCAAATGTTCTCCTAACAAAACATGACAAACCCAACATGGACTTTTGCTCTCAACTAAGGCTAAATCTAAAAATACCTGACAAAGCATTTCCAACAAAGATTCAATCTGCATGCAGTATTTTTTGGCACACAGCAGCTGACACACTAATAGCTAGTGTCTCCACAGGGGAGCTGAAAAGGAGCACGTGTCGGTGCTGCTCCAGCAGCTTTGGTGTGACAAAATGAAGAAAATGTACAATATCTAGACCAACTGGTGTGACTATGAGCACTGGCACCAAAACACTCAGATATAATCAAGTGTTTGCTTGTTTTAATCCAAGCGTGTTTTAGTGGAAAGCAGGGATAAATAGTCCCACTGTCAAATGAGCTCTGTGTTGCTTTAACTGCATCAGGCGGAAATCCCACGACATGCTTCAAAAAGCCAAAATGGAAAAGAGACAGTGCTATCACACTGCTGCACGTGCTTTTGTTGATGCGAGCTGTTGGCTGTGTTCCATGCAATGGAGATGGGTAATTTCCTGGGTGGACATTAGCCCATCAACAAATCCAGGAAACCAGAGATTTGCATCTTTCTGGTGGCAGAGACATCCTAGCAATCATCATCCCGCTCCCCTCCACCACAAAGCACAAAACAACAAGCTGACAGAGGCTGTTATGTGAAACCTGAGCCTTCCTCTGCTGCCTCACTTTCACGCTCCAACTACCAATGCCCTCTGATTCTACGAGACAAGGAGAAAACACAGCAGGTCACTGCTCTCACCCGCTTGTCCTCACAGTGCAAATGCTCACTCACCATGAACGCTGTGGTTCCTTACAGAAGGCCAGTCCTCCAGTGGGGGGTTGTTTCCAAAACCCTAGCCTAGCGTCATTGCTGCTCCTGAGGGCTCACTCCTGGCAACAGGACACCAAGGAGGTACAAAAGGAGGGCAGAGGGACAGTCAGGCTGCCGACACAGTGACACACCCTGCATTGGGAAGGTTGCCGCAGCAGCATTATACCCCTCTTTTTTCCTCCTCCTCTCTCTCTCTCTCTCTCTCTCTCTCTGAGCACTGATGCTACGCTGAGCGCCTCTGCATCAGGTCTATCTCTGCTGCGTGTGTGTCAGCAAATCAGCACTGCCGTGTGTTATCAGTCCCCGTTGCTGCACTGAAAGGAGATCTGTGCTCTGCTGTGCCCTGGCAGCCATTCTAATCAAACCCAGAGTCACGGATGAAGTTTCAGCCACTCAGGACTGAATGAGTAGCTGCTGCTGAAGTGCCAATAGGAGTTATATGTCTTGTGTTCTAAGAAATATGCTTCTTTGGTTTCTTGCTTATTGAATTATTCTCATTATATAGATGTAGTGGTTTCATAGCACAAGCACACTTGTGTACTGTGGAGCTGGAGGGATAAAGCAAATATTGGTTTAGTTAAAACCATTTGCTTTACTTATCTGATCCACAGCAGCGTGGTCGACTATGGGACACCCTTATTCAGAGTTAATCAGTTACTGTCATTTTCATCATTATCCAAAATTCCAGGGGACTTTTACTGCCCCATGATGATCTAAATGCTGAAATACTGACTTTCTCAGAAGAATTGAGAAAAAAAAAATTTATAAAATGAAGATGGCCGTTATGTTTAGTTTAAGATACTGATTGTTAGCAGAAAATATTAGAAGCTCAGCTTCAGCCCATTTCATACATGTCTGTAGTGACTTTCAAAGCCCTTCATTTATTAAAATCTGCAGGGGGTTTAAATAACATTACATTAAATTAAAACTACTGCTGGGAATACTGTCCAATTTCAATTCAACCTCCTAGATCTCAATAATTCAGACATGCCTGGGCTGCCAGGCAATGTGATTTAGAGACTCAGTGGGTTACAGAACAATTATTTTCTTCAGCAAACAGCAATTTACTGTGACCTGAAACTGCACCACAGAAGAGCGGATATAACAAGACTCAGCAACCGGACTTGCAGCAACCTAGTGGGAACTAGAATAAAAGCTTGATAAACAGCACTGTCCTCAAAGGAAAAACGTTGCTGGTGGGAAAAAAAAGCACAGATTGTGTCATAGCCTCAAAACAATAACCTAGGCTATTACAACATTCCACGCACAGCACGTGCGTACCGACAATGCCTTTGAACAGCAGCGCCAGTGATGACACAAAAGCTTGAAAGCCTAGCCATGTTAACTGATTCCTGAGGCCAGTATAAGGTTACAAATACAGATAAGATGGGCTTAGGATATTAAGCACAAGGGGGTGTGTACAATGCACTTGTATAAAAGACAGCATTTCAAGCCTGGGGTTCTAATACAAGACTACATTTACTTCATGCTGATGTGTAACATGTTAAATGGCTGATGCAAACAGTAGGAACTGCACATTAACAGGCTTCAACCAGCTTCAACAATGGAAGAGAGGGATACGGCCCTGGTAAATGGTAGCACAATAACAGACTTCTCCAGGCTCTAATTACATGCTGCCATCTTGTTCTCTGGTTTATTTTACCAGTAGAGAGCTGTCATGCCCATTAGTTGGGCCTGACAGGCTTTCTTGAACGGCACTGGGAAATTATAAGTTATCAGTCACCAGATGGCTGTCTCGCAAAGTCCTCTCAAAGACCTCGAAATTTAGAACTTCAGTGAGTGACACAAACATACACGTAGCATGTTACGCCACAGAAAAATAAATTTCAAGTGCATGTTTAAAAAGATAGGCATCAGTGACTAGTAGTTTTAGCTAGTGCAATTTACATACATGGATCTGCTCTGTGTATTGTGACTATTTTGTGTTGTATGCCAAATATTTACTGTCTTCGATCTAAGGCTATGGTAAGAAAGGTTTAAAACAACATTCTCATGCTACCTTTTTTATTTTAATGTATGTAGTTTTGGGGAAGATACTTTGCCACAGTTGCTGGTGGAGCAACAAGCTCCATTGCTTGGAAGCAGTTAAGTAGAGAGTAGTAGAGTTACACATTTGTATAATGTGGAAAATTATATACTGTAATACATAGTAAACAAATGCACTTATTTTGCTGTGATGCCATTTATTACAATTATTTTGAGGATTTTTTTCCTTTCTTTAAAAACAACATTAATTGGTTGTTTGCTTTTCAGCATGTGCTGTTCTAAAAATACCTGCAGAACCTAAATGTCACTGATGGGGAGTGTTGTTGCTTGGAGCACTGGTCCCTGGTTTTCAACAACACACAGACTGTGCTCAGTTACAGTACACGCATCATTACATAACTGAGCTTTAGCCATCAGTTCTGTTACTGTGCCCTGGGGAAGGAGTCACAATGTTGATATATTTATTGGTCTTTAGTGTCCCCTAGTACACTGATAAACTTCACTAAATTACATTATTGCATGAAAAGCTGGCTGCGCATCCATTTGCCCTTTGAACAGCAGCTGTTCTGCAGAACAAGCCAGTGTAGCAACACTTCATTTGAGCTTTAGAACAAATGGTGACGCTTGATTAAAATATTTATCTAATGCATTCAATATCTAAATCTTCAGAAGGTCAAACTTAACATTTCAGAAATTCAATTTAGTATCTTCTTTCACTGAAATTTATACTAATTACATCCAAAGTAGAAAATAAAAGGTGGCAAAACATCTTAAACCTCAATTTGGAGATAATCACTTCACAGGATATAGTGACAGAGGTAAAATAATAACGGACCGACAGGGCCATGACAAGGCCAGATAAACCAAAGCCCTATGATATATGTGAAAGGCATGTTTCCAAGGATGGCTGGCCTATGGTGTCCCAGAGACAAGTTAGTAGTCTGGTGCAAACAGTTCACATTTAAATCAAAAACATAATTTGCATTAGAAGTACTTTTTGTTTGTGGAAACTAATAAAAAGTGGATTAAGACTTTTCACATTTATTATTAATTTGCCACTGATGGATGAAGTAATGAATGATATTTTTTCACTTAGAGGTGAAGTGTTATTTTCTTAGTTGAACCTATATCATTATTTCATTGCAGTTTTATCTATTATGACTTTCTAGGTGGATTTTAGGTTGGATTGGTGAGGGGTCTGTGTTTCTGTATACATTTAGTTTTTTGTTACATCGATGCAATGACTCATTGTTACTAATAACCAATACAAACATGTGTGATCATAAAAAATATAGTAGAGGGTAGGGGAGAAATTTGACCAGCTCTCCTTCTAACTACATTAACGTGTTCATCCGGTTTCTTTCGGTTACCTGCTGTCATCGGTGTAAGTAAATACAGTCATTGAGAGGTGTTCTTCGTGTGTACGGTGACAAACCCAACACTGTGATCCCAATATCAAGATTCTACCTTTTGTATTCTCTTAGGGTCCTTGATGGGGCTTTCCCGTGGTGGGACTTTCCCAAACAGCTTCCAGCCTGGATCCCCCTGCTCCACTGGCCGACTGTCCTTCGCCCTCTTGAAAAACAGGCTCCTGGCAGAGAAAACAGATAGAGAGGTAATTAGGCTACATGACAAATGGATGAGGACGTTAAAAAAAGTGAAACACAAGCTACGATTGCAGTGTTTACTGGGCCACTGATGAGGCCCTCAGAGCCAGAGTCCAGCACCAGGTCAGAGTGTGGGAAGATTGTGTGCAACAGTTTTTTTTTATATATATATATATGAAGTTTATATTAATTCATGAGTACAGGCAAAAATAGACTAGATATGGGCAGGTAGCGAACAAAATAAACTATTTAAATTTAAAACGTACATAAAAAAAGCTGCAGTTTCTTCTAAACATCTAATCATCAAGCCTAAATAACTGATACATTTATTGTGAAGGCCTATGGCACAACCAGCTAACAGGACGTCACTCAGACATCAACGTAGGCTAGGCGTCAAACTGGATAACCTAGAAATGGAAATAGCTAGTGCTGAACAGGAAATTGTGGACAGCACATCATTGAAGGCCAAGTTGGAGCTATGGGAGAAATCTGATGGTTACAAACAGTGAGAATAACATTATCAGCAGCTTTGCTGCTTGTAAATAGTGCCACAAGATAGGTGACTCCTCACTAAGGGAGCAGCTGCAGAGCCCAGGTGTCGTGTCCATCAACAGATGCTTTCAATTATGGGTACAGGTCATGTTGGGTCCGTATTTCATTTAGAAACGACTACAAGGAACACATCAGGTCCAATACAGAGTTTTGTGGGTGTGGGTTTTCAAAATCCGAGCCACACCCAGAGCCATACAGGCCATCCAGAGAGCATTTTGAAATTCCATCTAGCATCATGTGAGCAGGCAGCCTGGTCATGGTCATAAGACTAATAAACTAGACACAGATGCCATTGGACTGCAGTGTTAAGAGACAGTAAACAACTATCACCTCTGCACTGAAACTAAATAAATTAACCTGAATGCTCAAATGGAAGGGAGAGCTGTCTGTGTGCCATATTTATCTCCCATCCACCTGGTGTTTAAATACCACATGCCAAGCTCCTCTTTTCAGCAGGGTTCACTGTACCATTTCTCCATCAGACAGCGTTGTCAAGAGCTGTTATCGAGGGCTTTAATCAAAAGCCTGAATAGAGCTGAGCTGAAAAGAGATGAATATGTTGGTCGAACAAAAGGCCTCTTCTAACCAGGGAAATAAAAGCTGTAGAGTGTCAGGCTAAAACATCTAAGAGTCCACGTCTAGGTTAGGGTGAATCTCATTGAGAGGCAATTTACTTTGGCAACTGACTGAAGAGTTTGTCATGATTCTGACTCATCAATAAAAGACATTTTCTATACATAGTCATGTCTAATAATATTGGCGGCCCTGCATTTCTGTCAGATAACACACCACTTCTCCCAGAAAACTGTTACAATCACAAATGAAACAATTTCTGGTGCTTTTTAAAGTCTGCTTTGAGTCATTGTCCTGCTGTAGGACCCATGATCTCTGATGATGACCCAGCTTTCTGACACTGGGCCCTGCATTGTCATAGTTCATTGGTAGTCTTCAGATTTAATAATGCCATACACACAGCCAGGACATCTAGTGCCTGAAGCAGCAAAGCAACCCCAAAACATCAGTGAACGTCCACCGTGTTTGACTGTAGGGACTGTGCTCTTTATACTGAAGGCCTCATTTTGTTTTCTGAAAACAGTAGAATGATGTGCTCGACCAAAAAGCTCTGTTTTAGTCTCAGCCATCCACAGGACATTCTCCCAGAGGGACTGTGGCTTCCTCTGGTAAGTTTTGGCAACTCTACTCTGGCAGTTCTATGTTTCTGTGTCAGCAGTGGGGTCCCCCTGAGTCTCCTACCATTGCGTCCCTTGTCATTCAGATGGTGACAGATAGTGCGAGCTGACACTGTTGGACCCTGTGTCTGCAGGTCAGCTTGAAAATATCTGGAAGTTGACTCAGGTTCTTTATCCACCATTCCAACAATCCTTAGTAACAATCTATTTTTCTCTTTCGTCCACATCCAGGGAGATCAGCTACAGCGCCATGGGCTGTAAACGTCCCGACAAAGTTATGCACAGTGGACACAAGAACAGCCAGTTCTGGAAAAATAGTGCATTATGTGACAGAAATGCAGTGGTGTCAATATTTTTGGCCATGACTGTATGTAACAATAATAACAGCTGAACGTTTTGTTAACACCCTGTCCCAGTGGACACTAGAAAGGCGGATCAGAGGTCTAAA